GTCCTAATCTTCATGGAGTAATTCCTACAAATATATGAGTTTGTATGTAATGTATGAATATAATATACAAGTTTCACTTTTTAAATGGAATTGCTGAAATAAATCTACTTTTTCATGATATTCTAATTTTATGACCAGCACCTGTACTTTGTTTTCTTTAAATGTGACAATTTATCTTTGTATCATAAAAGCCAAACAGATGTGTTTTCCTTATTTGCATAAAGGAATAAAATGTTTAAAATAGGGTCGACTTCTGGCCATAAAATGTGAATCCAAATGTATAAATCTTAAATCACATTGGTTGTGAAAGCCTGTATTAATTTTTGTATGGTAAAATCTTACGTGTAAAACGTGTGTAACTGTGGAACCTCAGTGTTCAGATGGCTGAACCCAGACAGGATCACCGGCTCTAATCTCTCACTGTCTGGAGGCGCTGACCCCCTTTGTTCTCTTGATGGCTTATTAACTGTATTGATTTTGGCTCCTTCGTGTTTCCCCCTTCCTGCAGGGAGGCAGATGACCCGTGCACATATCAGATAGTGTTAGCCACCGACTGCAACCAAAACCATCAGCAGCTCATTCAGCTGCGACAAAACTTCCTGTTATTTGTTGGATATTTTCTCCTTTTAAGTTCTTTGTGAGGTCGATTTAGTGGGACTTTCATCAGCTCTGCTGTTTTCAACCTTTTTTTAATTTATTCTTGGTCATTTTGATGCAAGCTTCTTTTCAAAGACCTGATATCAGAAGTTGGACCTGAGCTCATGTGGCTTGAAAATCCTGTAAGTACAACATCTATACATCCACCTTTTTATTTTATTTTTTGCTTTTGTTATTAAACTGTATGAATATAAAAAATTAAAAGCTTTTTTTGTGTTATTTTACTGAGTCCCAGTGGCAGATAAATCACCTTCAGCTATCCAGATGCTGTCTGTCTGTTAGCTAAGTTTCTCATTAACTGGTGGACTGACTTTCATGAAATTCTTAGAAAGTAATTAGATAAACAAGACAACCTGATTTAAGATGGTGACCACACAGAAATGGCTAAAACGCAATCAAGTTTATAACAAGTGATCTGAAATTCTTTGAGCGTCATTCCCAACCTGAGCAATAGCATCAAATCTCTTTTCAGTCTATTTGAGTCAACTCTTCCTGTCTGTTAGCAAAATTTCTCATAACCCCATTCGATGGATTCTATTAAAACTGTAAGAAAATAATTATTGTGTTAACTGACTGACTTGTAAAGCTTTGAAATTATCTTTTGGTGTTAATCCTGTCTGTTAGCACATGCCATAATCCTCTGGGTGGATTAGAATGAAAACTTGCAGAAATTAATCCTTGGCTTTACATCTCCAACTGATTAGCTTTTTGAGATGTCTGGCAGGGTGAATCAACCTTACAAAACACAAAAAGGCTCAGTCACATTTGCACAATTCATTGCCCGATACGCCAGAGGGACAGTCCACCCCCGACTCCAACCACAAACATATTTTACAAGATCTCTAGACCAAAGAAGCTAAAACTTGATATCTTCTCACTGATCTTTTTACAGTTCCTAATGAGCACGCTCAGTGTCAGTGTTTAATAAGGCATCGTGAATTAGATATATTTGTGTCTACTTCCGGTTAATTAAAATACACCAGTGCTTCCCAACCCATTTTCCTCAGAGCCCCTTCTTACTTCCGAACCAAGCTGAGC